GAAAGAGACAACAAGAGCCTCCCTGGGATAAGAACAAACCTCCAACACTGGCCTCAAAAACCAGCCCTGCCAAAGGGCCAGAACTTAATGGATCAGGCTGTAGAGCCATTTGTGCTCAGAGCACTGTCCTCTGCCCGCCGCGCCCCCCTCCCCCCCAAAGAGTAATGAGTTGGCAATAAATGAAGCTTATCAATTAGGGGTGATGTCAACAGTGGCAGTCAGTATAACAGAGAGATCAGGGAAGATGCTCAAAGAGAATCCTGCAAAGCTCACATGCCCAAGACGGTACCCTCTGAAAAGTGACACCAGAGGCTTCACCCTGTAGAGGAAAAGACTTCACTAGAATAGACCAGCAAAGTCGCAAACAAATAAGCAAATAACAGCTCCTGGGGATGTGGGAAGAAGAGGATCCATATCTAAAACTTATAAAATACACAATTTAAAATAGCCAGTTTTTCAAAATATTGAGATGCAATGAAACAGAAATTTTTTTCTTTTCTATAGTTATTGCTATACATAAAGCAGTGATCATGAATGAACTATAGCTGCAGATTCACATGCATACATTTCCCAAAATATGTTGTACAAAAAAAAGCTGTCAAGATATATGCAAAACATAAGATTTAGAATATCATACAAATATGTTAATTATGTCAATTATACCTCAAAAAATATATAAAAACAAATCATACAAACATAACAAATGTTCTTTAGGGATACATGCTACAAAACTGAAGAAAAAAGCAAGAGAGCAATAAAAACAAAGTTCAAGGTAGTGTTACCCATTTGGGAGGAGTAAATAAGATCAGGGCAGGGACACAGTTTCAAACTGACTACAAAAGTTTGATTCATTATACCAAGTGACAGATCTGAAGGTGTCCAAAGTTCTCTGTATGTTTTCAGTATTTTTTAAAAGAACATTTCTACAATGTGTATTTATGGACTCTCATTTTTTATTATTAAATACTAACTTCTTGAGACCAGAAATCATACATATTTGAGATGTCATGGCAGAATGGGTGAATTCCAAGAGTTAGTAAGTCCTTACCTATGGAATCCAAACTATCATTTAGAAAGTAGTACAATATGAAGACAATCGAAAACACAGGCAATTACCAGCTTCCGGGGTCTTACTAAACAAAAGGCCCAGAAAAAGGGCCACAAGTGAAAATAACTGCTTTGTTGACCTTTCTTTTCTCTGACTACTATTCCAGCTATCTGGTATAAACAGTATAGAAGAAAGATGCTAATGCTAATAGACATGTATTCTATATCTAGTTCCCTAGTAAGGGACATTTGTTCAGAAATAAACATGCAATGAATCCTCAGTTATATGATTTTTTCTGAAATTCAAAGCATCAAATTATGACACAAGTTTGGACAAAGGTGGTTAGTTGCCTCCCAAATGCAGCGATCTGGGAAGCCTGAAGTATGATTCCCAAGGGATCGAATACACTGTCTCCTTAGGCATTAGTATAATAAGCCTGAATGGAAGCTTAACAGCTCAGCACCACAGTGATTACTTGACTCTCAGGCTAATCTATCCAAGTATTTCCACATGTCAGTGTATGGAAATCAGCATAGATATAAATCATACAATGTGGAAATAAGGAACCCCACCTCTACTGTTCACCTTTTAAAGCAAAATTAAACAATGCTAATCATCCGTCCACACAGCAGGTGCTAACAGGCATTACTCCTCAGGCATCTGCATTCAAGCTAATTATGACAATGTATATCAGAAATCCTCCAACCTTGTAATTACAATTTCAGTTAGCTGATTTGTCTTTATTGAAACACTACTTAATAAATATTTACAGAATAAGATCTTCAAAGCTAATAATTAGCAATTATAAGATTCTGGATATTTTCTAATAGAAAACTTCCAACCTCCTTTTCGACAAAGTAAAAGAATCTATTATTTATTGAATATAGAAATATAGGTATTTTAGAAAAACCTCTGCCCAAGTTACTATATCACTGCAAAATACCCATAAAATTAAATACATAGCAGAAAGGAATAAGGAGTTCTCCTTTTATATACTACTGAATTTTAACTCTTGGAAGCTAAGCTAGTAACATTTACCTTAAATCTAATATGACCAGGTATGTCACCTTGGATATGTGTGTAATAAGCTTTATTTCATTTTAATCCCTACATATACTCATCTTGCCTTGATCTACCCCTTCTCCAACTTCATTTTAAGTAATTCATTGAACAGATATATAGATGTTGGTAATTTCAAGTAATGCAGTAAAACAAAAGCTTTTTCACACAGTATCTTCTCCAGCATCAGAAACAAATCAAGTTTCACTCATTCCATGGCATTTAAATCTTTATCAAAGTAGGCCTAAAATTTACCACTAAATCAGAACTCACTGCTTACTCACAAAAGTGATTCATTATAGCTAGGACTTAAATCAACACCAAAGTGTCTCTCCAATCGATAATGACACAAGATCCAATGACCCAGGGGAGCTCATTACCTAAACCCCACCCAAGACTAAACTCTGCCCTTCAGTGCACTTTCTCACGATCAAAACCATCCAACAGAGTTTAGAACAAGTGACCGTTAGCCTTGGTCACCTCATCCCAATGTCAAATTTCCACCAAGTAATTTTCCATCTCTATTTTAGAACATGCCCAGAATATACTGCACAAAGTTGTAAAATTGAGTGGCGGGAAAGTGCATTCTTCCTGATGCACACATATGAAACTTAATAGAATTTCCAAAGTGCTATCAATCATTGATAAATACAGTCATGCTGCAATATCCAAACAGATCACATACAAACATACCCACACACCACATGTCAATGTTTCTGGTTATAATATGCAATTCAGTTTCTCTTTAGAAGATGACTCAAAAGACTTTCTTAGTAAAAACTAGTTAATGTTTAATGAAGAAATGTATATTCTTCCTATACGAGAAAGGAGGTCTACATAAACCTTTGATTTTAAGCCCTCTGTAAGATTCTACCACTACTAAAGTTCTTTAACTGTTCAAGAAACAAAATATCCAGAGCCATTTTTAAACTGACATCATACCCAATTGCTCACTAAATTACAGAGACAACTATTTACCTTAACAAAAGGAATAAGGTGGTGATCACAATCTATGTTAAGTCAAGACATTATGCTGTATACCTTAAACTTATTTAGTGCTGTATGTTCATTATACATCAATAAAAGGGGGGGAGAAGGATAAAATCATGTGTAATATTATGGTTAATTATGCTCTAACCCTGTAACTTTATTATCCACCATATAACTGGTGTGGAGGCTGGGGATGTCAATAGGGATACTACTAACCACCCCACAGTGCAGGAAAGTCCCCACAACAAAGAGTTATGTTACCCAAAATGTTAGTCATGCCAAGCTTGAGAGACCCTCATCAATGTTCAAATATAGAAAGAAATCACATCAATATTCAAATATAGAAAGAAATTACAGTGTGGAGCCTGCTATCAAATGCAAAAATCCCTCGTTTTAAATATTAGAAAGCAACCCAATTCAAGGGGACCTGGTTTTATGAGAATTCAGTAAAATGTACCTTAAACCAGTGCTCAAAAGGTCCTAGGCAATTAGAACTCTTAGATAAATACAAGATTCATGGGTAGGTCTGCAAAGTTGTGGCAAGCAAGATAGTGTCTAAACTGTAACATCACAAAACCGTGGAGAGATGTTGGGATGGGGAGACTAGGAGCACAGGATTTCAGGAGAAGACATGTTGAGGCCTACTGTCAGAGAAAGGGAGGAAAAGTAAAAGCACACAAAATACATGTCTTTTCATAGTTTGCCAACTTCCAAAAGCTGGATAAAAGCCAGGAAATAATTATATCCTATGTTTTCAAAGTACTGGGAGTTAAAAGCTGAAGCCTTAGAATTTGCATACCCAGACAAACCATCAAGAGTGAGGATGAACAAACACTAAAAGAATTTCACTGCTGGTGAATGGTGCATACACAATGAAGAGAGCAAAATTGTGTCCTTGTGATACTTTCGTGTTCCTGTATGCAGGCAACTCTAATGTTAGCCTTAATATTGGACATCTTAGTTTCTTGAGGTAATTAATACATCTACATTAATTTGTCTTGTTTTGTCCAAAATGTAATATAAGTTAAAAAATCATAGTTATCTTTAGCATGTATACCACCTCAGGGGCTGTCACACTGTGTAGCTTGCTTAGAAAATGATTTATCTAAATAGGACCTTTGGTAACGCTTGAAAATTTGGGGCTAAGAAAAGAAGAAAATCTGCTGAGTCTATAGAACACAATTTATGAGAACAAAGGACAAGGAATTCATGGAAAAGAAATTGTAAAGTGTCTTTGATTAAACAGTCATCACTCTTTTCTTGCCTTAGATAGTATATTTGATTCAGGCCAATATTTTGCAATTTATTGGCCAGTGGCTATAAAAGATGCCAATTCTTCCCACCAACTTAAGAACTTCAATTACCAGGATAAGTTTCTATTAATTGCATTTGTTTTTTTATGATTAGAACAGTATGAGGGTTGGCAGGAAGTGGTACCTGGATTTCCTGAAGCTATTGGATCACTATCCTAACCATTTCAAGGAAATTTAGAATATATACACACACATTCATCATACATATTGGAATTCTGACTGACTTCTTAGACATTTTCCCTACTCTGATGACATTATTACTACATTCTTCTCCAAATAGCTCATATTACATTATGAGGATAAATGACTATAGCAAAGATAAATTCCAGAATAATCTCACAATCTACAAAATTCCTAAAACAAATTACCCTAACCTCTTCAGATCATCATGCCCATTTTAATAATTTCACATTTAAATATCCTAATATATAAAAAGCCAGGAGCCGTTATGACATAAATGACTGGACAGACAACCGAACAGCAGGATGCCTGTGGGAGGGAGCTCCCTCCTGGCCCCGGCCAGGGCGCAGCGGAACTCTAGGTCTCGCCCGATTGGGGGCATGGCCGGCCCTCAAACCAGACCCTGACAGGAGGGAGGAGGGAGCCCCATTCCTCACATAATCAGCCGTTGGTCAGCTTGCTTTCAGCGGCCTGCCAGCCAGGAATCCCATTCCCCTGCACCCCGGAACCTGACAGGAGGGAGGAGGGAGCCTCTTGGCTTTTTCACAAATGATTGGTAACCTCCTGTCTTTTTCACAAATGACTGTTTGCATCAGTGTTGTTTTTACATCATGTTTTTGTTGTTTTTATATCATATCTTTGTTGTTTTGTTACATCAACAACAACAAAGATATGATATAACTTCCTCTAATTAATTCTCTTTTAATGTGCATGAATTTCTTGCACCAGGCCACTAGTAATTCCATCAAAACTCAGCAAATGAACCACTCTATATAGTGTTTGTCTCTTTTATCCATTCACATAAGTATAAATACTTACCCCATGTTCCTTAGCAGCTGTGGCCACTTTAAGGAGAATATCTTCCTCCACAAAAGGTCTCACAGCATCATGGATAATCACTACTTCTGGCTTCGAGAGCTTGGAGTCTGGCTGATCCTCAGCCAGAGCTTTTAGTCCATTGAATATTGACCTGTGGCGGGTCACTCCAGCTTCAACTAGTGAGATGCGCTTATGCTGGTACTTCTGAATAATACCCTTCATTTCTTCCATGTTCTCTCTAGTTACTGACACAACAATGTCCTTTATCCAACATACTCTAAAAGGAAAGTACATACACATTTTATATAGATTGATTTGGATGCAACAACTAAAGTTAAGCTAATAACAGAAAATTAATTTTAGTAAGTACTAGTATATCTTCATAGAAAGATTAAGAACTGAAAGTTAATCAGTTTTATGAATTTTTATCAAGTTTAGTAAAGAGATTAAAAAATAAAACATCAGTGACTATGTCACACTATACAGAAACAGATATAAACAGTATTTCACAATATATAGTGTGGAATTATAGAGTGAAAATAGATAGATATGATATATAGATATATAGTATAGATTTCTGTCTTAAAAGTTAAATTTAAATAATTACAATATCAATCAGTAGAGAAAAAAGAATATAACAAGAATATGCTTTTAAATTGATTTTCTCCAAATAATGTTTTTCCTCATAGAATAGGAACCCTTCAAAGCACTTTTAAATTCCAAAAACTCTGTCTCTTTCTTCTAGAAAGTTTACTGAACTGACAACAAAGCTGGATAACTAACTCAAACTTTGCCAACATCAGGGTGAAATATTTTTGCTTAAATGGGGAAACTATAATAATTAAATTAATATAAATATAAATCCAGCTTGAATAAAATGGGAAAAACTCATAATTTAGTAAAAGATAAAATTGAAAAAAGAAATTAATCTGTTGAGTCAGATATAAAATATAAACCTTTTTTTTCCTGTTGTAAAACATTTTCTTAAAAGAGAGCCACTGACATACATTGAGTGATGGCTGCGTTAAAGAAGTTTGGCAGACTTCTCTTGAACACCAGTGCTAACAGTGGGTAATGTCATTTTAGATACAATGTTCCACAGCCCATAGGCCTAAGCCAGGAAAACGCCCTCTGAACCATGACATCAACTCTGAATGAAGTCCACTTTAAAATTTAATGGAATCCCTAGTCTATGAGATTCTATATGTTTAAGTCAAACATAGTTTTAAAGAGATGGAAGAAATTAACTCTCCACTTCATTGAAAAAAAATGAATGAACAACATCGGGTTGCTTTATTCAATAATTATCAATCTCCTACTGTCTGTTATTGAACAAATCCTTTGCATAACCCAAAACTCCATTCTGCCTGGGGCTACAAGAATACTACACTGATGAACAGAACCAAGAGCTACTCAACAGGCACGCTGTCTTTTCATTTTAAGTCCATTCCCTTAACAAATATTTACTGAGCACCAAATAAATTATCAGCATTGAGTATACAATGGAAATAGTCACTGCCTTCACAGAGCTTACAGATGAAACACATAAGAACACTAATAAACAATTGCAAGTTGTGACCAAGTGCTATGAAAGAGCAGCCCAGGCTCCAGGACTGTGTGCAAGTAGAATATTTAACCAGCAGAGAAAAGTTCAAGATGATGCCCCTTTAAGAAGCGTTTGCTCTACCATCCAAGCTGAGAGTGGCAGGAAAACAAGCAATGGGGTTTGGAGGGAGGGAGAGACGGGTGGTGTAAGCAGAGGCCACTGCAAGGTCCTGAAAAGCTGCGAAGAAACGGAGTTCTATGAGCAAGCGGGGGGAAAGAGCCTGATGTGGATGGAGGCCCAGGAAAGCACAGGGCTGGGGAGGCCATGCGGACCTCCCAGGCCAAGGTAGGGGTTTAAGTCTTTAATCCTAAAAGTATTAGGAACCCATAGGAAAGCTTAATTCGTAAGAAGACATTCATGCAATAAATAAACTAACAAACTAACTTATTTCCACCAGTGTTCTAGACACTGTTCTATGACATGATGGTAGAATAAAGGCCCCCGAAAGATGTCCTTCCCCTAGCTCCCAAAACCTGTGACTATGTAACCTTACACACCAACGTAATGATGCAGATGTGATGAAGGGTCTTGAGATGGAAAGTTCATCCTCGACTATCTTGGTGGGTGCAATATACTCATGAGTCCTTATACGTGAAAGAGAGAGGACGACCAGTCAAAGAAGGAGGTGTGATAACAGAGTGATTCAGGGCCACAAGTAGAATCTTGAAAATTCCAAATAAATGGATTATCCCTAGAGCATCCATAGCACTGTCAGTATCTTTATTTTAGCCCACTGGGAATGATTTGGGGCTTCTGACCTCCAGAAGTGTAAGATAAACTTCTATTGCTTTAAGCCACTTGGTTCATGGAAATTTTTTACAGAAGCAATAGGAAACTAATTTAACAGCATAAACTTTACTCTGACTGCAAGGTGAAAAATAGATTTAGTAGACAGAGAAAGAATGCAAATAGACCAGGTAGGAGACTACTGCTAAAGTCTGGGCAAGACAATGATGATAGTCTGACTACCAGATGGAGCTTCTACATGGGAATTAAGAGGTAAATTAGAGGTAATCTACATTAGCCAATAACATTAGCAATATAATTATCATATAATGTAAATAATAATAGTTAACATAAATTAAGCACTATATCCTAAGCATTAGTAATATTCTAACTCTCATGTAATCCTCACAACACTATACTGTCTCTCATAATCTGGGAAACAAATCAGAAAGATATCTGATACCTAATTTTCCTACACTACCATCTTATGCCAAAAATAAAATACTTTGATAAAAAATGTTTTTTTTCATTTTTCATCAAGATAATACAACATGCCATCCTTTAAAATGTAGGTTCCATGATAGCAGGAACAATCTGTTTTGTTCACTGCTTTACACTTTATACCTACGTACAGTGATGGCGAACCTTTTGAGCTTGGCGTGTGAGCATTTTGAAAAACCCTAACTTAACTCTGGTATCATGTCACATATAGAAATTTTTTGATATTTGCAACCATAGTAAAACAAAGATTTATATTTTTGATATTTATTTTATATATTTAAATGCCATTTAACAAAGAAAAATCAACCAAAAAAATGAGTTCACGTATCAACTCTGACACACGTGTCATAGGTTCGCCATCACTGACCTAGGAGGTATTCAATCATTTGTTGAATGAATAAATGACTTTAGTCTGTCTCATCTACCAGGAGCAGTGCAACATCTTACAACATTGCATAGTTTCAAAGATTATGAGACTACAGGAAGTTCTCTTCATTAACCTGGTTAACTATAAAAATCAAGAATAAAAACAGCCTTCCCTATGCAATGTGGTTTTGTGGATTGTTTTGTTTTGAGATGTTTTACTCTACTCTAATTCCTAGATTCTAAATCTCCAAGAGGGCCAAATTACTTACATATGTAAATCATTTGAGGGAATTAACTCACAGAATACCAAAGAATAAAATATATGGCAATCTGTGCAGGCAATAAAAGGAATTTTGGAATAAGCTAAGTATGGGTGCTCTTTGTTTTTTAGCCCATCCATCCTCCACTCCTTTTATTGCAAATTTAACAATTGCTAGAACTTACACTATACTGATATGGTTTAGAGTTATACTATACTTAACAAAGCCCTTGGCAAATAACAGTGACAGTTCGTCAGTGTTCCCAAAATATGGGGTTTCCCAAGATTCTGTCTGCATTGGCACAGCTCTCCCATAATGTATTACACCAACCTCTTTGCTGGTCTCCTTCTCATTTTATCTCAACAAAAACCATTCTCACCAGTTCTAGATGGTTTTCTTCAAGTGCAAACCTGAGGCTTACCTCTGCAGGCTCTTGAGCAGAGCCCTTCAATTCCTGACCTCAGCCTGCTTCTCCCTGCACCACTTGATCTCTCCATATCCCTCTTACTCTACTGACCACATTCTCCCACACCCATGACTTTGCTTGTGCTGCTTCCTTTGCCTCTCAACACTATCCCCTGACCCTGTCCCTGTCCCTCCCCTACCCCTACCCACTCTAGGGTGAGTCCTACTCTATTCAGCTGTCAGTTTGGATATGGCCTCCTCCAGGAAGATGTCCCTGTGATTCTGGGTGAAGCATTGCTTCCAGAGGGCTTTTATCAAGCTAGGGAGTCTTATTAAGCATCATACTGTATTCTTTTCTGTATCCTTGCTAACTCATAGAAAGAAAAGACTACACCCCAGGGCCTGGCACCTACTAAACTTTCAGTAATATTAATAGAAACAGCAAATATAATGTACTGATTGCCTGCTAGGTGCCAGGTACTAGAGAATTTGCCTGCAATATCCTGTAATATCTCAATACTCATATCAGCTCCATGAGAGAAGTTACTATACAATTTCCATTTTACAGTGGATACAGATGCAGTGATCTGTCTTTGATCACATAGTTAGGAATGAAGGGACCTGGGTGAACCCAGTTTGATTTTGGAACTCATATTGTTAGCCTCCGTAAATGCATTAACACTCTGAGAGAGAGGCCATAAAATCCTAGAGAGATAATATTATGTCTGAATTACTGTGTCTCCAGCACTTCATTTGTTATTAGTCTTGAACCATATAACACTGCTGCATTTGTGGTAAAAAAAAAAAAAAAAAAAAAAAAAAAAAAAGAAAAGAAAAGAAAGAAAAAGAAAAAAGTCAAATTTCTTATAATTCAAGCAAACATAGGTATTCCTTTATCCATGTGTTCATTTAGTCACTCAACAAACGTCAAGCATCTAGCATTTGCCCGTCACTATGCTGGACACTGGTGATATATAGTGAACAAACCCTGGCAGAATTCCTGACCTTGCAGTCCATATGTCAATAAACACCTGTTAAATGAATCAATGAATAGAGAGGAAAAAGCCTAAACAATTACAAAGGAATAAAAAATGCTCTTGAGTTTATTTATAGAAAAGAGTTTCTAAAAGAAAAAATATATTTGAGTTGTTTATTAGTACAACATCACACTAAGCTTATTTTTAAGATAGAGAAATTATAAAAGCATGCCCAACTAAATCAGTGGGCAGGATTGATTCATAAGGCAAGAGCTTAACTTATACCCTGTTATTCATTTCTGTTGCTTTTCATATTATAGTTTACCAGAAAAATAGGTTAAAAGTAACTTTCAAAGACATAATATTGCTGTTTTTTATCAAAAATTAATTTGAATTAAATGTTAATATATGGAACAATTAAGAGGGAGAAAGATGATGAGACATTGCTTGACATAGAGTAGTCATTCAAATATCTGTTCAATGAATTAATGAATGAACTCCCAAAGGTAAATCCCAATTTTACCAGAATGTCTTAAAATAGCTATAAAATAATCATCTATGGTCCATCAGACAGAAAGCAAACCAGATGGATGTAAATAATTACCAACAGATAAACTCCTGGCTTTAGGTTATTTCACACAATTGTATGAAGTTCTAAAATAGAAAAGTGTTTTAAACCAGTGTTTCTCAAACTGCAGATTTCAGGACCCACTAGTGTGCTATAAAATCAGTTTAGTAAGATTAGGCTAATATTTCTGAGTAAATGAACTAGAAGTTAATTGAAAAATTAGAATGCATAGCAAATAGTAAAGATAGGTTGTTTTCATGAAATTCTTTCCAATGTGAGAGTGTGTATAATAATTATGTGTTTGTCATTGAGTCATGAATCAAAGTGTAATTCTTATAGCAGGTCACAATAAAAAAAGTTTGAAAAACACCATTTTAGACCATTCTTGGAGATAATGGGCTTATTATGCTGTTTTGTTCGGCAACCCAAGCATATCCCCAGAACTTGCAAGCCTTTATAAATACTGTTTGTGTTTCTGAGGATTTATTCACATTCTTTCCTAGTTATAGAATTAAGAGCCTTTCACAGTATTAAAATTTAATAATGTAGAATCATGAAACGGAGAAAGAACCTAAGTACCTCACACAGTGCCTACTGCACAAATATTTGCTGAATTAATGGATCTGGTTGACCTCCTTAGCTGAAGGCAAGTCCACACTGAACTCCCTGTGTCTGGGTTTTATCAAGATCTCCTGAGTATTTCCTTCCTAGCACATTCCATGGGAAAACTACAAACCTAACCACAAGCTCCATTACACCTACAGATATTTTCGGAAAAAAATATAGTATCTCAGATGTTATTTTCTCCTAGAATAAGATATTTAGAGAAGCACTCTGCTCAGATAGTTTAAGAAGATCAGCTGAAAATAGATGATTTAAACAAATGTTTTTAAAAAGAAACAGATGGAAAATCGGGCCCTGTTAACACCTCTAAAGTACTGTCTTGAGGCCAAAAAGTTTGGCCCTTAGGGCAGTGGCAGCTCTGACTCGTTGCCATGACAGTCTTCTAGATTGTACTGTGGCCCTATTTTATGGATTTCCATTTCTCTGAACCCATCCTGATATTTTAGAAGCAAAATGTTGAATCTGTTTAAAAGGGCTGGCTTCTGATTGCCTTCACCAGTCAAGGCTCCGTACTACCGCCCATGAAGGCTTCCAGCGGTCAAGCCAGTCCACCGTCCTGATCTTATCTTTAGTGCTGAAGGAGCCTTGTGAGAGCCACTGGGAACTTAACACAAATCTCTAATCATCTGATCTCTACAGTCTTTTTGTATTTTTTTTGTACAAAATATAGGCCCATTCCTTCCTCTGACTCAGACCTGACCCTTTTATTAATGAAGCATTAAGACAAAATATTTTAAAATCAAATTCATATATTTGAGCAATCAATCAACTAAAAGCTTCCTAAATGCCTTTCTATTTCTGAATCCCTTATCCAATTAATCACTAAAACCTGTCAATTCCTGTCTAAGTATTTCTCCTGGCTTCCCTACTCCATTCCTACTTTCAGCTTAATTCAAGCAATCAACATTGCTCATTTGGATTACCATTTATGTATTTATTTCTGTCCTATCTTGTTCTAACAGAATTTGCAGTGGTTTCAGAAATATCGGAGAGAACATTTTTTTTAAAGTGCACAGAAAGCAAAAATGAAAGACAAGGAGAAGACATAAAATCATATAATCCATAAATTAATAGACTGAAAGACATACCATGGAGTCAAACACTTAGTAAAAATGGGCTCTCATTGATTTCCAAAGTGGTAAGAAAGCAACCCAATCTCAATCACAAAATAGAATTTCCATAACAAACACATATAAATGGATAAGACAGATTTTTTTTCAAATTCATCTGGCGTTACCAAATTCAAGAAGACTAACTCATATTAACCGAACTAATGAAGGATTGAAACATGAATTAGAATACCAAGGTTTTAATATAAAATGATATGCATTACTTTCACAGGGTCTGGAATGCTTTTTATTAGTGGGATAGCACATCTTCCTCCTACAGAAGATTTGTATGGGAAGCCAATTTATAATAAGCTTTTGATGAGCATGGGACCCTATCAAGGAACAAGTTATCTTAAGCAGTGTCCCCCTCCTAAGAGAACTGGAGAAACTTCAAGAGCTATGGGGAAGGCTATGCCAGATATTGTTCAAATCTATTGTCAGAAGAATTATAACCCCACCCAGCCCACTGCCACTGCCAAAAATCTCAATAAGCCAAAATTTGCATCTTTAACTTGCTTTTGTTGTGGTTGCCATTTTAATCTGTTTAGCTAGTCCAGGTTGTCTAGCCCTCCTTAATGATGCTTTCTTTCCTTAGATATTTAAAGCCAAAAATTAGGTTACTGGCAGAAATTTTTACTTCCTCCTTTAGATCTGAAAAGACTTTTTTTTTAAAGTAAAATTTAGATGTATGAGTCTCTCAGTTGTGAGCCAATTTTACAATTTAACTGTCAGAGCTTTATGCCCCTGCCAATAATACCACTTTCCCATGATTTCTTTTCTTAGAACAACATTTCCTTTTAGAAACTCAAGTCATAAAGTAATAATTATATAAGAGATTAATACCCTTGATCTCAGTTCCTTGTTAGTAAAATGAGAAAAATCAAAGTTCTCTTCAAGTTATATAATCTGTGGTTCAATAATTTATATTGCAATTCCTTCTAAAAAGCCAAAATGAAATTTTCAAACTCCTAGGAACTTTAATCAACTTCTGAAAAGCCCTTCCAACCTAAAAATTAGTTGTTATTCTTGACTGTTTTAATCATGCCTATAATGTACAGATCTGAACGACCAGTTGCATAAGATTAATATAGAACATATATGAACATATATATACACACTTCTACATGTCTATACATATGTACATAATGGATAATTATAATAAATGTACCTCAACACAACTGATTTAGACATATATTTGTCCAAATAGAACCTTTAGCCAAATACATCAGATTTGTAAGGGTTCAGAGAGTCTTTCGAATCTCATTTAATCTGATAAACTGGTATCTAAGAAATGACACACAGGTAGAACTTGGCTAATCTAGAAAAATGTGTATTTTTCCAATTTCACCAGCAGGAAAACACAAAACAAAACAAAAAAACAATATGAAGACCCAGTTGATTCAAAAGATAGATTTTTCTCTCAATATTTCTTCCAACTTCTAAATTATATATGAACAGGTTCTTTATATGTAACACTAGAGGCCTGGTGCATGAAATCCATGCACAGGTAGGGTTTCTAGGCCTGGCAGGTGATCAGGGACAATCGGGGCCTTCCAGCTGCCAGCTGGGGCCTTCCTTCATTCCGCACCACCCCCTGGTGGTCAGCACACATCATAGCGAGCAATTGAACTCCTTAATGCAGTGGTTCTCAACCTTCCTAATGCCGCGACCCTTTAATACAGTTCCTTATGTTGTGGTGACCCCCAACCATAAAATTATTCTCGTTGCTACTTCATAACTGTAATGTTGCTACTGTTATGAATCGTCATGTA